GTCCCGAGCCTAGCCACAGCCACGAAACAGAGATGGTGGAAGCGAGAGCTCAGAGTCGTGGATTCAGGCTTAGTGAAGAATCATCAATCTATTTAGGCCTCACTTGCTTTTTGGGAAATTATTTATCTGGTGAAATATTTTGATCAATGAGGACCAAAATGCCCTGACCAACTTTCTCCTCAAAGTCAAAAATAAAGGCCCTTAACAATAAATTAAAAAGTATTTTATTTATTCAATACCATAAAGGCACCAACTACGTACTGCCTATACTTTACCGGATGGTAGCACAAAGGCACAGATAGAACCAAATTTAATTTGATTAATGATGAAAAATGGCATTTGATCAGAATAGTTTAGAGGGATAAAAAAATCTGGATACGTACTTTTGATCATGTGAAGAGAAAGATGGAAAATGGGAAACCGGGGTCGGGGTGTGTCGGTATAAACATGACACCCTTAATTTACAAATTAAATCCTAATTAGTCTTCCTGCTCAAGTAAAGCTGATAATTACTTTCTATAAACAACTCCTCGAGGCATGTGAGGGGGAACCCCAACCTAACCCTATCCCATGCGCATCTTTCTACCTCCCTTTTCTTATCATTTCTTCATTAAACTAAGTATCCAGTCTGACTTGTTAACCCACTGGAATCTCTCTCATTCATATTCATGTATTCTCTCTGATCCTTATCCTTGAGACATTACCACTCTTTACTTTAGTATTTTTTTTTTCTTACTCTAGAGGAAACTAGGAAGAAAGAAGATGATGTCAGTTAACACTCAAATAAATGCATGAAGTGTCATCCTGACATTCTGACACTCCCACAGCCCTGCTCTACGTGTTAAATTCAGTGAATCATCGTCATCATTCCCTGCTTAGAAATTTCACCTTTCAACTTCTTTACCAAGGGGTCCATGTAATGTTTGTGATCTGGGTTGCTTCCACGTGTTTCCTAACAATACTTCATTGCTGAGAAGAGGGCAAGCCATCAGATTAGCTTGAAGCCAATAGAGAAAAATTAATTGACCCCATTATCATATTTGCTCAAAACATGGTGGTGACAACTGCCAAATTTAGCAGAGATTGCTAAAAATAGGGTAAAGAGATAAGGCTTGGCCTTGGAGTGTCCAAATTGCAGGTCTCATGAGAGAAGATAAGAATATAAGAGAAGTTATCACTATGGTTTTTAAAATCGAACCGGTCATGGTCTGATTAACGGTTTAAATGGTCCAATCGTTCAACTCGAATGGYTGGTTCATTCTGACAAAAAAAATAAAAAAAATAAAAATTGAAAAATGGTCAAACCATTCGAACGGTTTAAATGATTAACCGGCCAATTCAGCGRTTTATTAACCATAATCAACAAGTTTTGGAGAAAAAAGTGGTTTTGAGGAAAAACGGAACCGATCAAATGACCGATTCTCGATTTTTCCGGTCCGGTCCGGTTTTGAAAATCATGGTTAGCATCATAGAGTGAAGAATGAAGAGAGAGCTAGGGTTCTCCAAACAGCATTACCCACAGATAGCACAATTTCACATTTCCTCTAAATTTAGAGAAGTTATGTGCATATCTTTAATTAAACTGTAAACTCAGCAACTATGACAAGAGTTCCCTCTTTCTCTGTGTTTCTATTAAGTTTATATATTATTGCTCTGGGCGACTTTTATCTGCTCGTCCTGTTCTGAGTCTTGCCATTACGGATGTCATTACAAAAGCTGGAGTCATCTAACGCTGCTGGACTCTTACAAATATAGAATAGTTAAGCCGAGTGACGGCCATAGTAAGTTTCACATGTTATAAGCGGGCACTCCATATTACTGGTTGACAGGTATGCAACGTCTAGAATCTAGACCTAATGGGCAAGCGACACGTGGAGGGTGAAGGACAATGGTCCCCTGCATCGCTTTTGAGGTGGTGCCGCGTGTAAAGTTTTAGTTTTGGACTGGCATGCGATGATATGAACGTGCTCTTTTGTCTTTCCCGTGGTGTCGAAGGCTCCTAACTGTCTTCAATTAATTAATGGAGCCACATCCGACTTGGCCGCTCATGAGTTTCTGCTTCGGCATCCAATTATGCTAAATTTGGCTCATGCCTTTGTCATTTTGTTATTGAATTGTTTCAGGTTGTTAGGTGAGTTATTTTAAAACGGTTTTTATGTCTAATATGACTTCGAAGCATAAGATACACCTCGTCATACTTGATGTTAAATTTTTTTAATTAATTATAGTACGGGATATAAGGAGTGAATAATAGATCACTTAGGGCCCGTTTGGTAAATATTTTTGAGAAAATCTTCTTGTAGCTCTGACGGTCAATAGATACATTGAGCTTTTGACATAAGATCTGGGCAATTCGAAGACCATTTGGTAGATGTGCGTCTTTTTGTGCATTGTTTTGGATCTTTTCGCACGAGATTAAAACGTGAAAGACGCGAGAAGCTTCATTTGAAGCTTCCCGAAATCAGCCCAAAATGGACTTCGCACGTCTTTTCGACGCCGCATCTTTTGGCAACTAGATCTTCCACGTGCTAAACRGGAATAGACCGATTTTCGATCTTCCCAACTTGTAAACAACTGAAAGACCGTGCAAAAAAGATGTGTCAAACAACACCTTAATCAAATAGGCTTTGAGAATCGTGCATTAGGCAGCATTTGGAAATGATGCAAATGGAGTGTAAATCTCGATTCATAGTAAATTTGCACTCTAGTTCACTTTTGCTTATGTTTGGCAACATTACATTTATGCATTGACAAATGACAGACCAATGCATATTTACATTGATGATAAGATGTAAAAGTATATCAATAAAAAAGAAGTAAATTTGCATTCAAGTGGGCTTTTGATAAAAAAAAAAATGCTTTATTGGGTTTCATGTTTGCATCCATTACAGCTAAAAGTCTGTTTGGTAAGAAGTTAAATTTTTCGGTGCAAAACTAATCCAATTTTGCAATTTATATGAACCGGTTTATACTCTACATATTTGCAGTTACACTTATTTACATCTTTTCACAGCCTTAGGCTCGATTCAGAAGGAGTACAAATACAAATATATAGAGTACAAAACCTTACATTTTATATTATTTTTTATGTATTTATACATTGCATGTTTGTATTTATACTCCTTCCAAACTTAACTTTAGGAACATCTCCCGTTAATGAAAATACACAAATATGRGAGATATTCTTGATGTATTGCTACAACGTATGTGAGGTAAATACGAGGACAAGATCGGAACTCATCTCAAGCAAGATTCTAAATATCAAAATGTATCAAGGATATCAGCCGATACATATCATATTGGTGACCCCCTAATGCACCCTTACAGTGGATGTCTTGCGGTTTGACATAGTTTAGGGGGTAGACGTTATATCGATCTCCTGAACCAATTTGAAAAAAAAAAAAAAAAAACAAGCACAGCTTGATACATGTCAATGTGCCCCAAATCAATGTATCAACGTATATCGATATTTAAAACCTTGTGTTCAACTTAAAAAACTTGAAATGTTACATAAGGTGCCAAAATAGTTTTTTAAGCTAAATTTGATAATATTTATTTGAAAATAAATACTTATTGAATAAGTGCTTATAAGCATTTTGACGAAAAAAAGGGTGGCACAAGTATTTTCGAAGTGATGTAATGGGCTAAGTATAAACGCTTGAATAATCTCACTTAAAAACAAGCCCAAAATTTGAGCTTCTCAATTTAATGCTTATTCTAAAAATAAGCATTTATTTTGAACTTATTTCTCAGTGTGGCCTCGGTCCAAAATAAGTACTTATTCAGAATAACTGATTATTTTAAACGGTCCGAAACTTAGCCTTATTGAGCATTACAATGTCATTTTACCACTTAAAATTAAAAAACTGTTGATGTATTGAACGTGCTTCCGCCATAAAAATGGAATAGGAATCATTATCCGCTTCGTTAATCGTCCCAATGAAGTGGGGTGTGTCGTAAGCCGTATGAACTGTGACGTCACCTGTCATCCTAATCATGATATTGATATCCATCCAATTTACAAATTACGAAGCCCACATCAACAGTTCCCATTGTACATTTGTACTTGAACCCAACCTATGGCCCACAAGAAAGGGCTCCACGCCTCCACCCAGGAACTAGGGTTTAATAGATAGACGCTAAGAAAGAGAAGAAATGCATGCATTTATAATCAAATAGAGTGGAAAGTGCAAACAGCGCAAAGAAAGACAAGAGAGAGAGTACCAACCACGCCATTGGTGATTGGACAACCAAACATATCCAATTCCACTTTAGACTTTAAAGTTTAAACCACTCCCGGAGGCCATCCGTACGACGTGATTTAGTACTTCAAGGTGGTAAACCTTGGGATCCCAACCTTTCCATCCCTTATTTAATTTTTTTTTTCTGCCGAATCTACCCACGCCGATCACCCCTTTCTTTTTGGCCCTTTTCCTTGAAAAGAAGCAAGAGTATGCTTTACACTTTACAGGCCACCCAAACCCTACTCGAGGACAAAGTAGGAAGAAAACAATATATATTCCAAATTTCCAATCGCTTATTATAACAAATATTGTATTTTATTGACATAATTGCCATTAGTAGTTGAAAGCTTGTGTGTCCATACTGCCTACCACCCCATCCTGGTTCCACAATTGCCCACAGTTAAGTTACTTGTAGCAATTCACTATGTTCACGCAAAGGGTTACAAAATGACCAGAATACCCCCTTGTGACCTTAGTTAAAGTACGTCAGCATTTCGAAAATGACCCAAATGTCCTCCAATCCCTTTGGGCCTGAGGTGAGTGTGGACCTCTTGGGCCGATCCGAAGATTTGGTCGGGCCAACGTGACCGCCCGGGAGCCCAGATCGATGGTAAGTCGTACAATAGCAGGGTCCCATGAACGTGCAATCCCGAGTAGGGCAGTACAGGTAGAAGGTTAATTACACGAAGACCAAGGGCAATTTCGTAACTATCGCCCTATAAATAATATCCTACGATATCTACTACTCCGTCACCACCCGCTGAGAAAGGGGAAGGAAGATTAGCCATTGAAGGACTTAATAGAGCTTGGCGGGTAAGCAAGAGAAGCGAAGATCAAACAACTTAACCAGACGAGAAGGGGAGAGAAGTGGGAAGAGGATGAGAACCAACTTGATGAATCATCAAGTAGAGGATCAAATGTTACTCATTTCTCAACTGTATCCTAGCTTATGCACTCCTCAGCTGGTTCCGGGAGAAGGTCTGTAACTAGTTGTTTGAACAATTCACGTTGATTTTCTTGATGTTGATCGTGTATTTGCATGATGATCCTCTGTTTGTTTTTTGTGTAGGAGAGACGAAACCTCGTCGAAGGCGAAAGAAGAACAAAGGAGAAATCACCGATGTTGGAACTAGGAAGAGGAAGCTGAGCGCCAAACAAGTCGACCTCCTGGAGCTGAATTTCGGTAGTGAACATAAGTTGGTGTCTGAGAGAAAAGATCGGCTTGCTTCGGAGCTTGGGTTAGATCCTAGGCAGGTCGCGGTGTGGTTTCAAAACAGGAGAGCCAGATGGAAGAACAAGAAGCTAGAGGAAGAGTACTCCAAGTTGAAGACAGCACACGAAAGCGTAGTCGTAGAGAAATGCCGACTGGAAACCGAGGTCCATCTCCTTCTCTACCTACTCCTCCTCCTTACTTTCCTCAATATCTGTGGTAAAATATGCAGTTTACGTGTCTGTGTTTCTCTGATCTTAAGCTTTGTGCTCAAAACATCTTTATCACTTAACTAGCTGTTCCATTTTTGTGGGTTGGAGCCTAGCTTGGAGATGTGTTCTGTCTCTTTGTGCTTGCAGCTAGCTAGCTTGTAAACTACTGATATTTTCAGCTTACTTATTGCATTGTTTCTTATGTGTTCCTTTCTTTTCGTTTACCCATTTGTGTGGCTTCACATAATTAACATAATTCTATTGTTTTCCCATTTTCTCAACTCTGGAAGCACTCTTAAGTAATGCTAGTCGATTGCCAATTTGTTTCTATCCAAAGATTAATTGAGGCTACCCATCATCAGCCATTGATGAATCCGAGCTTCAATTATTGTTTTGGTTGGAGGGTGGTGAAGACTGAAGAGCATATATGTTGATCATCCTCTTGACTGATATCCCACCTGGAGTATTGGGTGTTTGACTGTTTGGGTCCTTGGCTCCATCCAGTTTAAGTGGAGTGGCTTTGCACGGAGGAACGACAAATACTAATTGGCCAACAAAAGTGACATGTCCTAGAGACATCAAATCCATATGAGACCTCATAAAGTTGCTCAAGGTGGTAGGGTTTGAAATCATATATATGATCAGGAGTTACATTCTCTAGCTAGTCTGTGTAGGGGACAGCATGCATTGCAACTCATGCTTATCTAAAACTCTGAAGAAAAGTTTACCTGTTAAAAACTTAAAAAGAGATGTTGATGTATAAAATTGATATTTTAGCACTCTGGAGAACACATGCATGTGGACGGCTACAACTGGTGGCCCCACCCCCACCTTGAAGATTCTCAGTTTTCATGATTGATCCTGAAGTTTAAATCTAGATGGGATTAATTAACAGTTAAAACCAAGCATTAATACTGTAAGTTAGTGCAATGGTTCTGGTTCATATGGTAACAATCTAGCAGCAGCTAGATTTACTTTAGGATGATGGGATGCATTAACTCAGTAGAAGTTTTGGATTCTTGGAATTAAAAATGGGGTCAGACTTTCAAGAGACGACACCCCCCCCCCTTCCTTTTTTTTTATTACTTGCAATGTGTAGTTCTCTAAGCAGTATATATTGTTTACAGGTGCTAAAGCTCAAAGATCAGCTCTCCGAGGCAGAGAAGGGGATAAAAAGGCTCTTAGAGCGCTCTGATGGAGTGTCAAGCGGTAGCCCGAGTTCCTCTTTTTCTATAGACACTGACCAACCATTTTTAGGAGAATTCGGAGACCAAGGATTTGAAAATCTCTTCTATATGCCAGAAAATTATGTCCAAGGCATGGAGTGGGTTAACCTGTATTTGTAGTTATATGATTTATTTGTGTAAATATGTGTAATAACCCTCCATCTCCAATGTAAATTATCTGGGTAGGTCTTATCTAATTATCTCTTCTGTATTGGTGGTTGTACTGGACCAGATGAAATTCTTGACAAAGATAGATATTTTGTCTTTTTCTCTAGTCATGGTTTGACTAGAAAGGCGCTCGCGTTGCTTGTGGCTATATCTTCCTTTCTTACCACGCAAGAGTAAGAAAGCCCATTTCTTGATTTCAAAGGTTAGAAAATGACTTTTCTGACGATGTTGGTTAATGGGTTTATAGTAGATCTGTCTTACTTTCTTGTCCATTGCGTCCATGTATTCTTTTTGGTTATGTGGTCCTATACCAAGAATAAACCATCACCCTATACGCACTTTTGCAGCCAGAAYTCGCACCTGACTTTTCTATTTAGTTCTACTTTCCTTACAGTTGTATGAAAATCCCCCACCCCGTTTGGCCGAGTTTACATCTGCGCCCCACAATGTCCCACAGCGCATCCCCGCCCTGTATTAGGAACAGGATTTTCAATTGAGTTGTAGAACAGAATTACTCAATGTAATGTCCTTATGTCCACATGACTTGTCTTCATTCAATAACCTGCCTACCCATCCAAAAGTAGAAGGAAAAAGCTGGAAGTGTGAATTATGAATCACTCTTCACGTTTGAGAAACATGTCTATTAATTTGCCCGGATCTGATAGAATTTAGAAATGTCTAGCATGGTACAGGTTGCCTACTTAATTGATTAGAGACTTAGAGTGAGATCTATCGTTTTAGTCCTTGTTTATTTTTCAGGAAGTGGGGGCAGATATGTTGGTAGATCCTATGGAAAAAAAACAAACTCGTATCGCTAATATGTAATGCTTAAATAATGTCCCTTTTTTATGGATAAAACAGTGATTGCACAAATTTACATCGATAAGTGCACTTGCCTGAATAAGTGCAATTACTCAGGTAAATGACTTACCAAGAAACAAACGAGGCTTTAATTGAAAGTTGAAACCAGAACCTGAGGGGAATTGTCCGACACTTAAAGCCAACCATGAAGTTCCACTGTTCTAGTGCAGCGTAATGTTAACACTAATCCTGAAATCAATCCAAGAATGCAACTACTAGTCCTGCATTCAGCGTAACTACAACGTTTCATTACATGGTAACAAAGGTTGAAAGGAAATCCAGTTAGAAGATTGCTATCGCCTCTTGTATCCAGTATAGACTAGCTATCATACACTTCCTAGAAAGAGCTTCAACCCAAAATGTGGTTATCATCCGGAGATTTCCATAAGCTAAACTGTAAGTTTTAACCTTTGGCTTGATTTTAGATTGGACTCGGAAAGAAACTGCCCACTGGATGAACAGATTGCTGGTCCATGAATAAGCCACATATCATACTGGATTAATAATAGAGAAGCTGAGAAGGTTCCCCCAATACAACACATTGAAAGATCAATTTTCCACAAGAACAAACATGCTGGCAATTGGGTAGGGACTCGGCAAAAAGAGCTGCCATCCATCTCGGAACTTAATGCTAAGAAAATGGCTTCAGAGCAAAGCTGTGATCCATCTGGTTTCTTCTCCTGTTAAGAAAATGATTGGCACCTTAGGAATTTAACAGAAAAAAAAAATGCTGCAAAGATGACAAAAATGGCCCCCAAAACATTGGAAAGTAATGAAAAACAAAAAAAAAAAAAAAAATAGAGGACCATCAGCCTTCTAGTATTGGCTTACAAAACAAGAATATCCTTACAGTATGTTTTCCCATCCTAGAGTTTGTGGAGCTGGGACACCAAACTAACAACCAGAAGCCATGGTAAACCTTCGACAGCTGTCGGCTTATAGAAAGATTGACGAAACCACTCTGTTGTTCCAAATGAGGAATCAAAAAAGCCACCTTATTACCTTTCCTTCAAAGAACCATCATTGGATCTTTTCAATTCTAATGGTGGTAGAAACATTGACGAAGATGACAACTGCTTCTGCCGCATTGAAAATGAGGACTGCCGCATTGAAATTGAAGACCAGCAATTGAAGGCACTTCTCAGCTGCCTCTTTTCATTGTCATCATATTCATCGTAATTGGGGTCAGGTCGCACGGCAGATACCTTAAGGGCCTCGGGGAGTATGCAGTTGCAAAGAGAACCTACATATGAAAGAGTTTAAATATTTAAAGAAAAAAAGAATACAACATACTGATACATGCATCTTATCCAAACATGATAGCAAACAAGGTGGTATATATCATGAACCACCATAAAAACAATCTAGCAACAGCATACAAGGAAACGTGGAAGCATACAGGCAATGGGGGACAACTATTTGGGCTCCATTACTGATGAAGACAACAAATCATCCAACGCATTAACATTTTCTTTTTTTCCTTCGAGGGTTTTACCATGCGTTTGGAGGATTTTGATATATAAATTGGCAAAAAACTAGTCAGCATATTTACTTAAATCTCCTAGGTTCCGCATTTTAATTTACCAACAAACTACTTTCACAATCCTCTTGGCATACCAGATTTATTTTACTCAAATTGTCCATAAACTCTCATTTTGGCTAATATTATTATATTTACATAATTCAAGATTTACTTATGCCCATGTTCATGTGCTATGATTTCTGTAAATTGATGTAAGGAACACCCTTGGAACTGAGAACACCATATTCAGATACAGACAATGATGCAGCAAACCCAACTATGATTCCCTTATCAAGATCCAAGAAATAAATAAACATAGCAGTATCCTATCTAATAAGCTAGTAATATGCTTTTACTTTTAGCCTTTTAACTTACATTTTTCAATACATATATCTTGTCACACCCAATGAAATTTCTAAAATTTATAAAATTCCTCACATAAATTTTGTTGAATATCTAACCATTTATTTACTGAACAAATATTAGGTTGCTCCTCAGTGGTTAAGAGAATACAGTATGAAAATATGTGAAAATATTCAAACTAATACTGTAAGGTATGCAGTATCTAGTGCTGATGTTGGTGTATTGTTGTGTTGACATGGGTTCAACCTGGGTACCATAGGTTTGGACAAACCTGAATACATGGAATTCACACCATAAACCATCACATTAGTAATGAACAGATAAAATTCTTATCACCAATTGCATTTCAAGACAACAGGAATGAAAAAATTTTCAATTACATCTAGAATAAATTTGCCAAATAAAATGTATTCATTATATGGGTGTTGACAAATGTATAAATAAAGTTGACTTAGGATATCACGAATGAACTGATTTCTATTTGTATTAGTTCATTAGCAATTCCATATTGGCTGATAAAACTTACCAACTCAAATGCTCAGGGGTTATAGTAAATTATATTGTTAGAGGTTACTTGAAATCCAGAGTGATATCTTGTAGAGATTGACTAAAGGTCTGCCAATTCCTAAGCAGATAGTCTATCTAATTTTCCTTTTACTTATTGTAATTTTTCTTTTTTTAATTAGATGCAGGAGCTGTTGCATGTGAAGTCTGTTTCCTCCCTTCTCATCATTAATGAAGTTTGATTTATTGATTAAAAAGCCATTCAATGGCACTGAAACATCCACTTTCTTCCTGTTATAAGCCCTGTTTTTGACATGAGGTTCAAAAATCTTAGAACCAACCAATTCCCCTTCCAGATCAAACATTGTAAACCATATAGCCATACATCTGATTAGGCAAATGTCAAATTGTCAGCCTTTGACAGTTGACTACCACCAAGTTATTGCATTCCTCAACATCCAGGCCTAAAGTTCAACTCAAATTTTGGACAAATCCAATCTTGAACACATAAATCACCCTTAGACCTTAATAGGTGCCTGTTAGGGAGGGCTTTTTGTAGAATGGCTTTTGTCTTTGCAAATTGCAAGGCAGGCCTCACAAGGAGGAGGTGGTGTGGTGTCCCATTTTTAGAAGACCTTTACTAGATTGGAAAGTTGAAGAATGTATGAGTCTGCTGGCCAGGTTGCAAGAGGTGGAGATTAATCTTGGCAGTCCAGATTTGAGGTGGTGGAAGGAGTGTAGAAATGGGAAGTTTATGGTGAAATCTATTGTAGAGCTCTGGAAAGAAATCAGGTTGAAAGAGCATCTTTTGGAGGTTTTGGGACAACCCAATTCCTCCAACAGTGGAAACTTTTGGATGGTTGGTGGCATTGGACAGCATTCTTACTCAGGACCAGTTAAAGAGAAGAGGGTATTGTTTGATGAGAAAATGTGTTCTTTGTGAAGCAGTCTGAAAATATTGTGCATTTTTGTTGGTTGATTGCGGCTTCACAAGTTTTGTTTGGGGCTTCTTTTTTTAGCTGTTTAAAATGGAGACCTAGTCACCTCAGGTTCCTAAAGACATCTTTGATCAACTGTCTATCAGGGGAAGTAGGAAAACAAGTATTATCTGGAGTTCTGTAACTTCTGCATTGTGCTGGGAAGCATGTAAAAAGGAACAAATGACTTTTTGATGGGAAATAGAAGTCCAAGGAGAAAATGTGCACGATTATTGGTTCAAAGTTGCTAGATGTGAAAGAACTAGTGCCACCTAAGGCTAGAGCTTTCAGTTGCGAGGTCTTTATTAATAAACATACTTGTAAGAACCTTCAATGGAGAATACCCTTCGAGTATACTTCACCCCTATGTTTGCATCTTTTGTAAAATACTTTCCACTTGCTAATCTCTTGTAATTTTGTGCATGCTATTTGGAAGTTTTTTTATGTGGAGAACTGGAGATGCAGAAAAGCTCCATTGTTGTGGTGTCTATGGAAGAAAGAAATGCAAGAGATGACATTGAAAATATATTTATTTAAGGTTGCACATTGGACCAAATCTATGGAAGTGTTTAAGCTATTTATGACTGATGACATTATTAAAAACTGGAACCAGGTCGCTGATTCATCATCAGTTAGAGTGTCTCCAACAATAACTTGGAGCTGACTACCTCTAGGACTTACAAAGATGAATTTTGATGGCTGCAGCATAGGAAATCCAATTCTTTCTGGTGTTGGGGGAGTCCTTCAAAACTTGGAAGGAGATATAGTAACTTTATACTCCAGTCCTAATGGGATTGCTCACTCAACCAGGGCTGAGTGATGGTTGTGTTACAGGGATTAAGAGGTGCGGAACCCTTGCACAGTTACACTATAAGGACCTTTCAGGAGAGTTTTTGGGAGCATACACATGGAATCAAGGAGATAAAAGAGCTAATGAAGGAGAAAAAAATTGAGAACAAGGGTTAAATGGGTACATCAATCTGCTAACAGACCAACAGATGGCTTGGCGAAAAAGGGGCATTGAGAAATCACATGTACTGGGGTCAAGTACCCCATGGAGGGGGATGTAATTGAATATTCTAGAGATGGTTAAACAAGGCTAGCTATCCCTTTGGATTCTGATACTGTATTGATGCACATTATATACTCTTATTTCTATTCATATTAATAAAACTCAGAACAGTTATTGATAAAAAAAACGCTATGCAGAATATTTGAGATTTTCTTGCAAGTGGTGCAGGGAAGAAATATTTATATCAGGTACCTATTCTTGCAAGTCGATTCACCCATTTGGGGATTGGGTTCCCAGTCAGCTTGTAACAGATATCCTTGCAGAAATGGTTGCAATTTTTAACAATCAAATGATATGTATCACCATTGTAGTTTGTAGAGTGGTGCTCCATGAACTCCCTGACCTGAGTTGGGTCCAAACACGTTGTTCCCATGAATATTGACTTCCTAAATTTGAATCCCGGGCATTGTCGTGGCTCAACTTCAAAGACACCACTACTTGGGTAGTCGTGGGCTCCAAAGGCATATTCTACACCATGAACTGAAATACAAGTTTAAGTCATTAAAAAATCTACTTTTTCTAATGGATAGATATTGAATTTTAAAGCCAGAAAATAGAGAAATTGCAAGCTACTGGAATCCTTCAAGAGGGTCTCCTGCATTCCAAGAACTGTAAGTATACATTTAGGTCACTGGTCACATGATTAAGGAAAAAAAAACTAATAAACAAGATCAGTATTACCTTCCACACCAGAATGAAAGACACCAAGGCCTGCCCAGTAGACATAGCCATTCATGGGTGTCAAGTCATAAACATTAAGATAGACAGGGGTGCCGCCTGTATTATAGCTTGCTGACTTCACTTTTGGGAACAAGCTGAAACAGGCTGATTTGCCTCGTTTGTGACAAGGCATGTTGGAGTTACAGCCCTTCTTTGATCCCAATTTCATGTTTCTTTAAAAGGTGAAACCAGGAATTGGTAAATCCCTAGTTACAATCTGCATGTATTTAAGGGAAAAAATTTAGAAACATTAGTCATATTACATCAAGACCACAACAAGAAAAACCATACAGCATAATGGAGGCAAAAATATAAAGGGGTCCAATATCAACTGAACTACATATTCATCTTATTTTTTTTTTTAAATGAACTGAAGCACAAAATGAAATTTCACAAATGCCAAGAATCCATGCAAGTCACAAAGTAAAGGAAACTTCTGCATTCCCCACCTGTTGTTATGTAATAATTTAACCTTAATATGAAAGGTCACAGTCAGCAAGCCTCAAAAGTAGGATTCGTGGAGTAGACAGTATAATTGTTTGCTTCAGAAAAGCAATAAATTGTGATGCTGTAATTTCATGCATATCAATTATACAATACATCTACTCACAAGAAAACAAATAAATACAGATTGAATATAGAAATATAATTGATTACTTGGAAAATATCTCCAACCTTAGGTCAAGTTTCACTTTTTCCATTTTGTAAATATAGCATTGTTTAGATGGTTAGTTTTTCTTTCTGACATCTCAAACAATCTTGCTTCCATTCCATTGCAAAGACATCTGAAAGGTGTCTTTCTGAGTTCAGTGTCTTAAAAGCACAAGGGCTTTTTTGCACTTTAGGCACAAGGCAAGGCCTTATTGAAACGAGGTGCAAATTAAAAAAAAAAAAAAAACTGCATGAAAAATGCAAAAAATAAAAAAAATAAAAAACGGCCCTATACTTATCAAACACTACTGGATGAGAGCCCCCTACACTTCATTCTCCCTTATATGCTTAATTTTCAGACAAACATAGATTATCCTTCAACATCATCAAGCATCATTTTCTTCTTGACAAATTCCTATTGATTACTTTTTAAACTCAGATCTGGAGTTTATTTTTATGTAAGCATCATTAACAAAATCACCTATTCCCATATTATGTAGCAAGAGGGAAGAACACCTAGAGCCAACAGCTCTCAAATATACTATGTGAAAAAAGCACCCAATTGTCTATCTTGAAACTGTAGTTCCCCATTAAATGGAATTTCTCCCCACCTCATCGAAAAAGGTTGTCCATAAGGGAATTAGTTGATTATGGAACCAAATTGAGCAAGCTGTTGACCCATGCAGTCAAAAATCTATTATACCCTACAACTTACAAAGTTCCAAAAGGATACCTGGGCCATCAGAAGACATACACATAAGTACATAACCACCCACCCCATGATTCAGCAATCTCCTTCAACCATATTTTCCTTTTGCTAGGCGGCAATGGTTCAGTGGTTAGAATGATGAAGGTGAGATTCAATTCCAATCTAGGATTAAACTCCCCCAAGACTCCAACCATATTCCAAAATTAACTCCCTCTTATGAATATAATACAGTGAAAAGTATTGTCCTTATTCATCAAGCAATGAAATTTTCAGAACCCTTCTCCATCTTTTAAACCTTGAAGCTTTAACTTCAACCACTTGAAGCTTCCAGGGCGGGGGCGGGGGGGGCTAGGATGTCAGTAAACAAAATCCTGGTTAAAAGAAACTTTGGGTCTAAAGAAGCAGCAGGAAACATAAGGTGCACAAACCACTAGAAGTAACCAGAAGTAACCAGAAATAATCAAATAGTATCACGACAAGAAAAAGAAACTAGAAGTCAACCGAATCAAAGTGAAAACCGCAAAGCCCGCCCATGAGAATTATGTTGAAGTCTTGAACTGCTTCATAACCCAGGCTACCTTTGTTCTTTTCTGTTTTTTTTCGAGCATAATATTAGTAGAAGTTTCCCGTTTTTATCTGCTTGGAAAGATGAACATTTAATTAAAAATTCACCCAGTCTAAATTGTTCCTGATCGCTATTACATGAATGAAAAGATTACTTCAAAACAATGAATTTTCTTATAATAGGATCCGATTGCCCATGGCTGAATTTAAGAAATTTCTAGATCTATCAAGAACTAAACGTCAATTCACACCGAGTCAAAAAAAATTCTCTAGTTCGAGAGGAGGTGAAAAGAAAGAAGGCCTTCCCAAACGACAATTTCGAATGTTGCATTTTGCGAGRAAGTTATAGACCTTGGGAAACATAGAATATCCTGCATCCTAGCAACACCGGAAGCATGAACAAAACAAATGCAATAAATCCAGTAAACTGGGTTTTCCAGCATTTCATAGAGAACATGAAAGAAAAGGCAAGAACAAACCAACATTGGTTAACAATAGAAACCAAAAGAACAGAAAGAATGAAATGGGCAAACAAGAAATATATTTGAGAACAAATTGTACCGAATAGGAGCAAAACTGAAAAATTTACTTAGTTCTCCGTGGAATTCTATACAGGAGATATTAGGAAAAGAAATAAAGGAATCATGCTTCAAGACAACAGATCGAACAGAACAGAGACACAAAGAGAAATTAATAAGCAAAAAACCACTAATCCTACGCAAACGCAAGGACATAAAAAAGTAAAATTAATAACAAAAAAAAATCAGAAAGGAAACAAGAATAAAAAGTAGAATTGGAGCAATGCCACAACACCCAAGAAGAAAAATTAAGAAAACCAACGAGAACCCATTAAAGCAAATAAAAGCAAGAGAAGCCCACCTTCCCATCTGGAGAACGTTCCCATCAGAACGGCAGACAGCAAGAAAACCACCTTCAACAAGCATGCTAACCATCTTTCACGGCCGAGAACCCACCTGAAAGTGGTGTAGCTATGCTTGAAACCCACACATTTCTGACAATAACCGGAAACCAAAATCCAGAAACCAACAACGCCTTGCAGCCCAAAAAAGAGGAAAACAAAAAACCTCCGAGAAATTTGAAGTAAAGCTCGAGAAGCTCGCTCGCGCTCTCTCTCCCTCTGGCTATTATTATCCAAAAAAACTTTTTTTTATTTTGATTTTTATTTTTTTAAAAAATCACGAACGTTGAAGTATTTCAAAATTCACAGAGCTATCTTTTTTAAACATAAAATAGTTTAAATTTACGTATTGTTATTAATATTTTTTTATTTCGAAAATCTCACCATAAATATTTTAAGTTTTTAACGATGCACGTATCCTTCCCTGTTCCCTCTCCCTCTCCCGTAGATCTGATTTTACTCATTCTCTCTTTCTCTCTCATTTGTTTCTTGATCGGTCCGAGATCGGGGAAGAAGTGAGGAATACCCCCATTGACTTCCCTCAATGACATGCAAACCCCTGTTTGGGCATTTAATTAACCAAAATACCCCCATCCAATTAAAAAACAATACATGGTTGATGATATAGCAACATTCAAATAGCAGACTGGTGAATTCGGATTAGGTCCCAACAGCCTTGACAGCCGTGGATGGGGAACATCTTTTTTTTTCTTCCAAGGCCCTTGAGATGTTACTAATGCATAGTTGTGATGGCTGTTCAAAGTTCGGATATGCTTCTCAGATAGTGCGCCTCACAATATATCCTACTCGCACATGTAGAATATCTCCTGTATTTGTATTTATTATTTATGAAAGATGTTTTCTGTATAAGATTAGATGTAACTTTGAGGGACGCTCCAGGACACCTCTTTGTGTGCACATTTGGGTAAACACCAAGTTTTAATGTCTTAATAAATTTTCTATAATTATATATCATATATAGAAAGCAAGGAACAAGTAAATTTCCGAGAATGTCAGGCAGCATCCCATACAAATGATAAATTCAGTGACAAGTTATCACATGAAGATGCATCACCACCAAAGTCAGTCACCACAAAATAAACTTCCCACTTTGTACATTGATAACTCTTTTGATTCAATTAAAGATAATGCAGGACGAGGGTTAGTCCTCCAACATCTCCGCAAAGTAGACCTTCTTGGGCTCTTATTTCAAGCCCTATTAGGCGGAGTAAGCATGGCACTTTCTAATGGCATCTCTCATCTTTTGGAGTTAACACCCGTCGCTTGTCCTCCCACACGCGGATTAGAGGGATCCGTGCGTATCCTCCTACACGTCCCACGGGACGGCCGTTAGCTCCCTCTCGCCCAAAAGATCTTCTTCCTTCTCCTTTCTCTCAAATTTCAGCTTAGTTCAACCCTCGACCTTCTGCTCTTAGAACTGAAATCCGCCGAAGATTGCCCCCCTTTGAGTTCTGTCGGTCGACGCCGACGACCGTTCTGRTAGATTTATTTATCGGAGATAAATATCCCTCAGTTTTCAAATAAGTTTTTTTCATTTTCTACCTTTTTTGTTTTTTTTCTTATTTTCGCCGAAGCATTTTTAACAGTGAGAAACGATGAAAAAGATGTCCTCTCTAATGCCTCCTCCCGAAGGCAACACTGACGCGTCAGTAACACGAACCGAGTGGTTTGTGAGCGAGCCTACACAGATTTTCTTTTCTTCTCTTTTTTATATATTTTTTCATTTCAATCATGGCTATTTATAGGGTTGGTGCTTTGTATCTTATCCTCGACAGTTGATTATGGTTCAGTCCTTGGTTTCGCACTTTAGCTCTGATATCTGGAGGTGTCTTTCTTCAAGAGTAGAAAGAACGAGGCATAACCCAGATCAGATAAGTGAGAGACAGAGGGTTACTGTTGTTCAGTTCCCAATGGCAAGCTCTCTTCATTTTTTTCATTTTTTGAGGTTTGAAACAGAAAGGGATTGAGTTGAGATTGTCCTTCAAGTCTCCCAGTAGAGACGAGGAGGAAAGAGAAAGCTTTTATTCTTTCTCGAGAATAAAAAATGGCTGTTGTAAACGTTTTATTTTCTCATACCGGAAGAGAATCGCAGCATTATATGCAGCAAGGGACGAATCTTATACTCCAGCAGAATTCAAAAGGGGGCAATCTCCGGCGGATTTCAGTTCTGAGTAGACCTGTTCATGGGCCGAGCCGGGTCGGGCTATTTTGACAAAACCTGAGCCCGACTCGAATTTATTGCGGGCCGGGTTTTTTGGCCCGAATTTAAGCCCGCGGGCCTATAAGCATGTTCAAGCCCGTCCAAGGGTCGGGCTGGGCCGGGCCGGGCCGGCCCGTCGGGGCACTCGGCCCATGAACAGGTCTAGTTCTGAGAGCAGAGTTGTGGGGGGACAGGGTGGAGTAGAGTTCTAAGTACGGCTGTTCATAAGAAGACCCAACCCGAGTCGGTTGGGTTTTCATCAATACCGGTCGGTTTCGGATTGTAAAAAATTATAAACCTATGGTTCGGGTCAATTTTGGTTTTCATGTGTGAAAACCGAAACCGAACCGACTTAGTAGTTAGTAGTTACAACCTACTTAGTTCCTACTTAACTAAGTTGTCTCTATTCTAGTTACAACCTAACTTAATTTCTAGTCTTCTAGTTAKGAATGACATTAATGGCAAGTATTGTAAGACAAYTAAACAAGGAATTTTTTTGGAAAAGTTTAAAGAAAATAATCAAACGATCCTAGTTTCTATGGTCTTTTACACCAAATAGGCAACCAATTGCAATTATAATTAAGTGTCTTTTTTTACTTAGATTATAAGGTTTCTTGAAATATACAAATTTCAGTCTTCTTTCTCTAATATAGTTTGACTTTCCATTTTCTTGATAACTTTTATTTTAACTTGGTCCGCCCCCCTTAGCCCCTCAATTCAAGCACAATCTCTAATACAATTTGACTCTCAAGCATGATTGAACTTAGAGCCGAAACCAACCCAAACCGACCCAACCCGACTCAAACCGATCAGGTCGGTTTTGCTTAACAAAAAATCGGTTTCGATTTCAATTTTAGGTAACCCGATCAGATCACGGTTGAAAAAATCTCAATAAACCGATTCAACCCAACCCATGAACAGCACTAGTTCTAAGAACAAAGTTGGGCAAGAGGGAGCTAACGCACGAATCCCTTTAATCCACGTGTGGGTGGACATGCGGCGCGCTCACAGCGCTGTAGGACGTTTTGGGGGGGGGCAAAGTTGTGGGGGGCGGATGCGAACCCCAGAGAAGTCATCTATAACAGGTTCCAATTTGACTGTTTCACCCTTGGTTTTTTTTTTTATATCTTTTAAAGGGTACATTAGCGAGTAGTTCATCCCCCAACGTAGCTACGACCAGTACCTTACCAACCAAGCAACTGGTTTGGCACTTTGGTGGGACTAGATCATCTTTTCATTCGCCTAAAGAAGCGGGCGAGATGAGAGAGAGAGAGAAAGGAAGACTGGAGAGATTCTCTTCAACGAGGGGAGTGGGTCCCAAATATAATTTGATGTCAATGTTTTCTCTTTCTTTCAAAATATCATTTTGAATTAACAGTGGGTTCAATAAATAATAGTTCGAGAACGACCACCTCAAGAATTTTTTTTGCAATTTTTTGCATTTTCTACAATTTTTCTGTTATTGTTTGCATTTATCTACAATTTTTTGTATTTTCAGGTATATGAATTGACCTGATCATTTTTGTCTTGAGAGAGATGATTCTCTCAAAAATGTTTTTTTTTTGGATATACAAGTTAATCCAACCCTTTTTATCACGTGGTAGTCTTATGAGAGATGATTTTCTCAAAAATATTTTTTTGGAAATACGGGTCGATTCGACCCAGTTCTTTCATGTGGCATCTTTGAGAGATTATTCTCTCAAAAAATGTTATTTTTTGGTATATGGGTTGCCCTGGCCCATTTCTACCATGTGACAGTCTTGAGAGATGTTCCTCTAAAAAAATTGTTATTTTGAGTATGTGGGTTGACTCGACCCGTTTTTGAGACATGACAACCTTGAGAGAGAGAAAGAGATGTTCCTCTTAAAAATTATTATTTTGGATAAATGGGCCATTCCAACCCATTTTTGTATTTATAGGTGAGAATAGGTGGATTAGTATGGGTGAGGGTGGTTAAGGGTCAAAATGGATGGATCAAGTGGGTCAATATGGGTGGATCAGGGTGGGTTAATGACCCTTTAACAAGAATTGACGATGGGTCATAGTGGGTTGGTGGATCAATATAGGTGAATTGGTATTCAACCATTACCCAACCCAAACCACTTATTTGCCACTCCTATACAAGAGTGCTTTAATTGATCAAAACTCTTATGGTACCATGTCTTTCCGGTATCATAGATTTTTTCCAAAAAAAAAAATACCAACTTAATTATAATATGGCCTTATGAGAAATGCAAGTATGGATAACAAATGGAATTGAAAACCATGGACCTGTTACCCCTAAACCTTGTAAGGCTTGGGTTGGTGTCTTGTGTATTTAATTTTCTATAAGCTCAGTACCAGATCTCCAGTCTAAACCTAATCAATTAACAAATCCTAAATGAGCTGTACCTTTGAGCTAGTCTCCACCTTTGAAGGACCACCATTATGCTGCAAAATGCAATGACTCAATGACAAATGCATTGCAACAAAATCATCRAAGGATGATTAACAACGGGTGCATCCTATGCAGCAACAGACATGGACCAATGATATCTTTTGTTCCCATCTTGTTAAACGTCAAAATAAATCTTACTAACACATGAAAGTATATCCGGCTAAGATACCCGAAAGGTATGATATCTAAAATAATTTTGTCATCAATCAACCAATATCATAAATGTGTTAACCAATCAGAGAGATTCAAAATTCATGGGTGAGTTTTGATTGATTAAAATTTTTCTAATACATCTTTCCAAACCGTAGATTTTCCCTATTTTATGAAATACGAATTAATAAAAAATAAGATGTCTTTAATGTGATTTTGTGATTGGTCGAGATGTGAATCCATCATACAACCAATATAAGTGAATGCACACTGTAGTAAAAGGCTAAATTCAAATAAACGAGGATTCACAACGTTTCATTGTGCAGTGCAGACAGTTAGGGAAAACGGATAGATTTACTTCCTTTGCTTCTTCTATAAAGCTTTATATTCACACTATATTTGTTAATACCTACCCAACGGGTCCAGAGTTGGTCTAAATTCTTGACAGATCCTAAATCTATGGACCTGATTATAAAGTTTAATATTTGTGAACTAGATCCTACTAATTAAGCAAAGAGGGAATTCAGATTCTTATAGTTTGAATCTTCCCTCCAACAGCACATATTGGCATCTTGATATTATAGATATGCAGTACTAAAGTCAAGATCCTGGGAAAAAGTGGTCAACAAAGGTTGCTTAACAAATGGGTAAA